TATTCTAACCCTGGCCATGGAAAGAAACAGCATAAAGAAAAGACTGAACCAGAAACATACATGCAAGCAGATTTTTAATGCCATGGCCTTTAGAAAAATGCTACAGAATACTTTGATTCCTGGCTATAAAACAGCCTTTGTTACTCTGTGTTCAGGTACTCTGAAACAAAGTGACTCTTTGTTCCTCTGTGTTTCAGAGCCTAATATGGCTCCGTTATTGTAAAATATTTTTAAGAGACTTTTCTAAAAAAGAATTATCTAAATTTTAGAATTAGTAAAGGTACATGAAATTATATATAAACTTGGTTTAGTACTTTATTAGCAAAAAAAAAGACAATTATTTTCCCTTATCCCTTCTCTCATTAGGATGCAATACCTACAGGCCATTATCATGGAAGATATATTCCTTTTCTTACCTGGCAGAAATATTGCAACCCTCTTTGCTAAAAAATTCTTAAAAGCAGATCCTATAACACCTCTAAGCTCTGAGGAGATGAATGTAACTGAAATGAATCTCTAATATTAAGATATGAAATTCTATTATTAAAAACTAATGGCTGCAGGCTTTTCTCAAGATTCCAAAATTAAACTAAAGAACTGACTGAAAATACACCTAAATTCTCCTAAAAAAAAATCCTGCCAATTTCTTCTGTAAGTATATTGTGTATGTATTATGAATCCTCACTTCTCATTGTGGATTTAATGTCCTTAAAGAAAATGAAAGATGCATTTTTAAATGTTAAAATGCGTATATCAAATTTTAATCATGTACATGAAAATTACAGCTCTGGGCCAAAAATTAGTAGCATTTAATTTATTTTAATGAGCCCAGAACTGGAATTCAAGTCTTGATCTGAAGACTAGGACTACATTAGCACTAGCGAAATACTGCCCTATCTCCAGAGCGAAACAGTTGGTGCTGAGGACCTGAAACACACGTCTTGGGGGGGGAAAACATTGTTTGAGACTTTCTCTCTAGTGGTTCTAAAGATTAAACTCCCTCCTATCAGTAGTTGTGCATGTTCCTGTTTTGTTTCAGCTGAAAGAAGCGAAGTTTGAATCCTCTGAGACTGCTCAATGATGGAAGCATAGCATCCTAAGTGGCACTGGGCAAGTTCGCTTCAAAGGTGTATTTCTGATGAAAGCAAAAACATTAATGCAGATGTATACAAATAAAAATTAGATCCCTTATTTCCTTTATGATTCTATTTTCTAGAAGTCAAACTGAAGCGATTTCTTGAACATAATAAATGTATTTCAGAAAATTTAAAAACCTACATAACATGTTAGAAAGTTAAAACATATTTAATATGTTAAAATAGTATTTCTACTAATACAGTTTTTGGGTATGCAATAAGGTTACTCAGGGGCTTTAAAGAGCAGTCATTCTATCAATAATAAATTGAAGAAAAGAACTTTTTTTTTCTTTTAAAGATTATAAATAAATACACGAGAGACTTTTCCATTAAAGAAATCACTTGCGGATCTTTTTAATGCCTTCAGTTTTTCTAACTTAAATTCCACCATTACAGTATCATTAAAATTCTAAGCAGGCAGATTTGGTCTGCATTAAATGGGACATGGGGCAGGCTTTTGGTGACACAATTAAGCCTGTTCCTTTCAAGGATAATGTCAGAGAAGGTGAACGCTAATGTTACTAATGTGATAAAGGAGGATGAATGACTGTAGGAAGGAAGGATAGTAAAAACAAACTACACAGAATTTTTTTATTTCTGCGAAGTTCTGTCAGATTTAACTTTCATTTCCTAAAGACATTACTGCAGGGACACCAATTTGCATAAAAAGATTAAAGAGTGCACGAAACGTCCAAGATTGCTTTGCAGCTACAACACAAACGAAGAAAAAAAGTTTGCAGATGTCAAATTTTCATGGCTCCTAACACAAACAAAGAAATAAAATAGTTTTTGCAGTTGTCAAAAAGAATTTAAGAAAATGATCAAAGGTATTCTGATAATAGCACATGATGTATAAAAAATCTCAACACTAAACGTCAGAGTGCACATGCTATTCTGAAAACAGTTTAAAATCTTTCCATTTCTGAAAGCCAGAGCTCCATGCCAATTAAAAAGGAATGCTCACAACAATCCTTGTCTCAGTTGTCAAATACTTCTTCCCGGCAGCTAGTTTTTATCAGATAGGAGAACTAAAATAATCATAAAATCATAGCTCAGACCCAAAGGTATTACAAAACAAAACTAAGTATTTTTAAAACAGCTGCTCTAATGCAATTTAAACCATCTAGCTAACACGCTTTTTAAGATTGTCTTACTTGGTTCAAACTGCTGGCACTAAAGACACTATACATTCATTTTAGTTTTCACAAAGTATAAGTAGCCATCAGACACACATCACACTTCATAAACTCTTGAAATCCTATATATATGTACTACGTATATTTTAAAATGTCTACACAAAAAACTTTCCTGTCACCCAGTACTCTTCTCAGCACTTAACAGTCAGTATTACCATTGACATCCTTTCCATTCCTTCACATCACCTATCAGAACAAAAGCTGAGAAATTTATCAGTCCTAAAGGATATACTCATGAGTATTAAGACTGACATACACCAGCACAAAGTAAGCCATACAATGAAATAAATGAAGCCTGTCTGATTGTATTTTATGTCCAGATGTCAATTAGCTGCAGCACTTTGGGGAACCTGAGTAGTCAAAGGACTTTTGCACTGCAGGTCAAATCAATTACTAACTGGTTATAAAACTAGCATGATCCTAGAGGAAATAGTATCATTTCCACTAATTTTAGTTAATATTAAGATTAATAAAGTCATAAAGATTATTAAGACTAACTCAAGTCAACAAGTCCAGCGAGGAGTGGGCCCACTTCTTTTTCCCCCTGAAAACAGACAAACTAAAAATTGACTTTCCACCTAGTAACAGTAGAAAAGCTAAAATTTAGTCTTAAAAATTGTCCTACATTAGCTTGTAAGGAGGTTATGATAAATCTGAATGTAGTAGTAGTGGTATGGATTCAAGTCCTAGAAAGACCAACACCCCAGAGCCGTACATGTCTCCATTGTTATCACCAAGGGATTTAGACTATCCCCATATGTAATTAGACATCAAAGGCCAAGAGATCAAGTACAGTAATGGAGAAATGATCAGGAAGGTCATTTGGGACCATATTTCATCCACTGTATAGGTACCAGAAAAATTCTTTGACTGTATATAGCTACACAAAACTATGCATAAATTAAAACCTAACTTTATAAAAAAAACTGATAGTAAAATGAAACAAAAACATCAGGAATATAGAAACTCCCTGTCTTCAAAGTAAACAACAGAGAATGAAGAGGTTATCTTTTCCAGATAAAGTCTTCCTGTTGAGCCTTAATAAAGAATTCCTAAGTCTGTTATCATTTAGTATGCAGTAATATACTGCACTATAGTTTTATATTTGCTAAAACAGGCAAAACTTGCTCTCACAGTATGTACATTATACAAGATAGGAAAAAAATCCAGGAAACAGAAAGCATTTAAAACAAGTAGGCTATTACAAAAGACAAAAATTTGCAAACAGACATAAAAATATTTCATTTCGACAGCCCTTTATTTTTACTTTATACAGTTTATATTGAAACACAAAAATAATCAAAAATAATGTCCTAGGCTTTTTCCTATGTTCTACAATGAAATTAAGCAATATTTTATGTTCAATAAAGTGTCAATTAAGGGTGTTAATGCAAGACATTAAAATAAAATTAGTATTTACAGAGACACATCTTCTACATTTTAAAAGTATATAAAATAAACAAGCTTAGAAAAGTGTAAAAAAAAAAAATCATGTTCATTTTAAGAAAGGGAATATGCCTTCATTTCTTAGGATTATTACCAAAAAAGAACTAGGATCTTGGAGTACAAAACTAATTCTGAAATATAAAATTATATAGAATCATAGAATCATTAAGGTTGGAAAAGACCTCTAAGATCATCAAGTCAAAGCATCACCCACCACTGCCATGACCATTAAACCATGTCCCTAAGTGCCACATCTACACGTTTTTTGAACACCTCCAGGGATGGTGACTCCACCCCCTCTCTGGTCAGCCTGTTCCAATGCCTCATCACTCTTTCAGTAAAGAAATTCTTTCAAATATCCAATCAAAACCTCCCCTGGTACAACTTGACTCTATTTCTTCTTGTCCTTTCACTAGTAACCTAAAATATGCTTCATAAAATAGAATTTTCTAGAATACAGAAAGTGCTTTACACATGCTTGAAATGAGCCTTGTTGGTTTTTGTTTTTTTAAGAAGAATTGGCTTACTCATTGTTAAAATGCAAAGCTTTAAGTGTAAAGCATTTTGCAAAAATCAGCCATGTAGATACTAACTACAAAACTACTGTAAGAAGCCAAGAAGACACTTAGGCTTTCTAAACAGTTACATAGTTTAATATTTGTATCCCTTTTCATTTCCCTCCTGAAAGACTTTTCTGCAATAGCTTACTGATTAAAAAGGATATTTTATTTTAAATGTGCAACGATGCTGGAATGACAGTACTTTCTCCCTGTCCGTATAACTTATTTCTTAGATATAAAATAGGGACAAAACAGACTTGTCATAACTCTTCCATGTTTTATAAGAACTTAACCACCTAAAGAATACCATTTTATAAAAAAAAAAATTCTTTATCACAGCTCTAGGGGCAATGAATTACTACTTTCAATTACTTAGTAGTGAAATTCAAACAGGAAGCCAAAAATAAAAACAGGATATATGAGATGCTGAATGCCATGCTCTTAAGATAGTAAAGAGGAACTATACAACTCAGGATGGAACATTTTTTTAAAGGAATATGTTGCACAGAGCAGAGATGGTTGAAAAAGCTCAGAAAAAAGCACAACAAAAGGAGGAAGAACAAAAAATATTCTGAGAAGTTGCTTAAGAACATATTTTAAATAACAATACAACCCCTCTAAATTCTTTTCAGTAAGTAGAGTTCTTGGAATGTATGCATTACCTTAACAACAGGATTCAGCAGAACAACACCTGATTTCTTTGTAATAACTTGCTTTGTTGTGTAATGATGTTCTATGAGTTGAGGTATTGTTGGAAACCCAGTTCCTTCAAAACGATACTGATTCTGTATGGAGGTAAAAAGAAATAATTGTTTCTCTACAAGCAATATTTTGAACAAGAAACTACAAAAGTGCATCACCATATGTACCTCACCAGTTAAAAAAAAAAAAAAAAAAAAAAGTTTGTTTTTTCAGAATTGAATTTCTTCCCTGATCTATTTAATAGCATTTCTACTGAATTATATTAAATGATAGTTAGGAAGACAATACATTAATAAATGCAAAATCACTGCATCACTCATTTAAGGCAACTTGATAAAAGAACTATTTATTTAAACTCTTAATTCAAAGAGATAGAAAAGTTAAACTTGAAACTTGGACAGAGTGCATTAAAAATATTGAAAACCAGATAAAACAACACTAACTTCTCAATTACTTGAAGTTCTAAGAATTACAGAAAACAAACTTAAACATCTGACAATAAAATAAACAGGAGATAGGTAACACTATCTTACTGAGATCTTACAGCATTTACAACTTTTGATAAAATTAATAAATCCCTGGCACACAGTATAAGGTGCACGAATGGTCTTTAGTAAGGAGTATATATATCATAAGAGTCTACAGCAGCTAAAAACAAAGGCAGGTCATGTATATAACTCATAGAGAAGCTGGGCAAGACAAAATTCCCCCTCACCCCCACAATTTTATTTCTTTTTTTATATATATAATTGAACACAATGGAAACAAATCTCTTTAAATTTTCTTTGAAGAACGTGACGTTTTCTTAGCAACGACTGCTATGACATACCATTCTTCCAGGTCTTAAGGGAAAAAAATGTATTTTCTTTATTTATCTTTGTCCATACACTTGATGGGGAAAAAGGTAGTAAAGCATAATTTATTTAATCCTCCTAAATATCTATTAAATGTCTATTAAATGATACACTGTAGCTGATTGGGAAATAGGATAAAGTCTTGTGCCTATAGAAGACTCAGCATCTACAGTAAGAGAACTCTTCCCACAAGAGAGGAACTGCCTGAAGTCAGCCTCCCAATGCCAACAATGAACAAGTACCACAATTAAAAATCTGAAAGCACAGGTGGTGATTCAAGTTCATTTGCACAACTAGGCAATGAAAACCCCTACTACTGGCAAGCAGATGTTTTTCTTTCTACCCTCCAGGATTAAAATCCTTGCCACAATGCATTTCATTACAGGTTAAAGCGTTAACTTCCTGAAATGTATTATTGCTGTTAGTAAAAACAGCTTTGCCATGTCACCTACTTTTAACATCCCTTTTTCTCTCTATCATAAAAAGGTTTTCATAGTCTGAATACTTTTTGTTATTTATTTTGATGTTCAACTTCATTAATTTATCAAATAGTGACTCAGCTTTGATTGACCAGTTACACTCATTCTTATGCCTTTCAAAGAAGCTCATTAGTATTTCTGTGCTGATGATCCAAAAAACATGGTGCTTTAAGAGTTTCCCTAACACAATAACTAGTACTTCCTGTTATTTCCTCATCCCAGATGCAGCTGCATGCCCATCTGCTGTTGTCTAGGTAAGACCTTTGGGGCAGACAGTGCTTTTTGATTCTGTCTATTTACACAGGATCCTGATCATTAACATCACCAACAAACAACAATTTGAAAATAGCACAGGCTTAAAAAAGCAGCAATGAAAAACAACAGTAACCTAGAACGACAGCAGTAACTTTCGATGCTTAAAGCTGACCTCACACACAAAATTTTATTAACATTAGCCTTTAGTATAATGGTAGAACCAGAGAGAGAACACACACAATTAAAGGACCACAGTTAAAACAGAATCATACAGAATCACAATGGTTGGAAAGGACTTTTAAGATCGTTGGATCCAACCACTATCTAATTCTACCAGGCCACTTCTACACCATATCCCTGAGAAACTATCTAGACGGCTTCTAAATACTTCCAGGGGTGGTGATTCAACCAGTTCCAGTGCTTGATCACGCTTTTGGTGTAGAAGTTTCTCCTAATGTCTAACCTAAACCTCCCCTGAGGCATGTAAGAAGAGGCCCAACCCGCCTCCCTACAACCTCCTTTCAGGTAGCTGTAGAGAGTGGTAAGGTCACCCCTCAGCCTCTTCTTCTTCAGGCTAAAAAGCCCCAGTCACTTCAGCTGCTCCTCATAAGACTTATCCCCAAGACCCTTCACCAGCTTTGTTGCCCTTCTCTGTACCCTCTCCAGAACCTCAATGTCCTTCTTGTCCTGTGGTGCCCAAAACTGAAACCCAGTACTCAAAATGTGTCCTCACCAGTGCCAAGTACAGTGGGACAATCACTTCTCCAGTCCTGCTGATCACACTATTCCTGATCCCAGCCAGGATGCTGTTGGGCCTTTTTGGCCCCCTGGGCACACTGCTGGCTCATGTTCAGCTGACTGTCAGTCAACACCCCCAGGACCCTTTCTGCTGAGCAGCTTTCCAGACAATGCTCCCCAAATCTATCCCTGTGCATGGGGCTGCTGCAGCCCAAGTGCAGGACTCAGCACTTGGCTTTGTTACAGTTCATACAACGGCCCATCAGTCCAGCCTGTCTAGGACCCCCTGAAGGGACTCATGACCCTCAAGCACACCCACAGAATTTGGTGTCATCTGCAAACTTACTGAGGGTGCTCTCAATCTCTTCACCCAGATCATTGATAAAGATGTTAAAGAGGAGCGAACCCAGCCCTGAGGAACACCACTTATGGCAAAAAAAGAAACAAACAAACAAACAAAAAACCCAACAGGTAAACGTCCCACTCTGGCCTTACTATTTGATTCAGAATAAAATTTGTATATGACCAAATATACATATGTATATGAAGATCTGTCAGTGATCCAAGAGTGTGATCAGAGACCTGATTCCACATTGTTCATACTAATGTAGATTAACAAAACCCTTGCACTAAACTCTCTTCAAACTTTCCTACCACAATGTTCATGAATACAGTCCCTCTTGTTATATAACCACACAACCATGATCATAAAAGGTCTAACTCCTTTTTTAGAGCTGAATGAGCTCTTTCTTTTTTTACAATTAATTTTTTTTTTCACGATAAATGCAGCAAATTCACCTCATACAAGTGCATAAAGAGTCCTGCATTTCTTCAAGAAATAAAGTTTTAACTTCCATGATTGTCAAGAAAATCTGCCACAAATGAATCCCAAGAGCAGATGAACACAATGCCCTATTACTAAATGTACTTGCAGACAGATCTATTCACCTGGTGATGTTTGGACTGTCTAAAGCTATGCAGTATTAAACAATATCATGCTTACATTTCAAATGCAACTCATAAGAGAAAGTAGTGAGATTATTGAAATAAAAATAGCTTTTTAATGTCTTTTTTTTTGGAAAAAAAAAAATTTAAAAAGAGTCAGCTTATAGGTAGGTATCAAAGTAATCCTTACTTTTAAAACCCTTTATATTAACTGACTTGAAAGTACAATCTCTAATTTTTAAAGACCTGCTTGTTACAAAACTTACACAAAATTATTTCAGCTACATCAAGTATAAAATGTGTATTTACTTATGCTTGGCTGGGATCAAAGAGCTCCAAGCATCTTGTAAAATCCTCTGTGTCTAGGTACAGGTAATTTTATTGCTCTTATTTGCCTTATCACTTTTTATTGCTTTTGTTTTCTCATTTAGCACTCTGCTACATCCAGGTATTTTAAGTATTTAAATAAAATAAACATTGACTTTGTGTAAAGGATCACTTGTGCAAGGAAAACTCCAGGTGAAAATTAATGAAAACTCCAACTGGACAAGTGTCCGTAATCACTGGCCACTGCCTCCCATTAAAAAGAAACAAACCAGGAACACAATTCTGACTTCCTTTATGCATGCTTCATCAGCTGGGGATTTAGACAAGGAAATTCCCTCAGTTTAAACATTGCTATATGATTAAATTTGTGTATTTTTCTGTATGTGGTAGATGTTATTACAAGAGACTGAAATACATTTTGGTAGCATTACTGAAACAAAACTAAGAATAAGTTCCTGCTATGTCATACTTAAAGAAGAATTTCTAGTAATGTTATAAGAACTGTCAGATTTTGAATGAGTTTGAAATTCTGAAAGGTAAAAATATATACATTTTAAAAAATGTAATTCATTAAGAAGAATAAAAAGAAATACATAGGATAAAGACATACAAACATTAGCATACTGTTTAAATTGACCAATTTTTCCCAAGTTAGAGCAACAAGGGTATCAGTTCTAGTCCCTAGAAGCATATATGCTGTGCAAGGTCCACAAGCGCTTATGTTATACCGAACAAAATAATCATAGGGCTAAAAAGAACACAAGTATCTCTAGAGCAGCAGGGACTTCAATTCCTAACTGCACAGAAAGCAACACAGATTATTATCTTCTCCACAAATGTTTCCTTCTTTTCAGGAAGATTCAATGGAATCTTTACACTCTGAAATAAAGGAAGCCTAATGAGCATCTACTTTGAAAACAGCTTTAAACAAAAATAAATGTATATGCATAAATCAGTAGTAACACATCTACAGAAATACCTTGGTTTTTCAATGTAAAATTAAAACATCGTGATTAACCTCATACTTAGTCTTTTTCCTTTGTTCCCCAAAATGTCCTTTTCCCCTGATTTCATCACTGACGGAAATATTTCCAACAGTTTTCAAATTTTCATATAAAGGTTAAAGTCATTTGCCATAGTAAATTATGTAGACACTAAATTGTTTATCTGGAATTATAAACTTCCTAACATTGGATATTCAGTACTATATCAGAGACGTACATCAGCATATTGTATGATAAAGTGTCTCCGTTGTCCATCTGAAAACACAGAAAGGACATATTCACCAGGTTTCCCGTGGCTTTCTCGCACCAAGAAGTCTCCTTGCTGTTTTAACAGTTCCTGGGCTTCTATTCTTGGAATTGCACCATGATACCAGTCTTGCTCAGCCAACGGTTTCTCAGTGGTTGAAATTACATCAAAGAACTTGGGAAAAAAATGGAAAAAAATGTTACTATAACAGTATATTTTTAGAGTTCACTTTTAGACGAAAAGCATGATAAAGAGCAGTAATTTTTGTGTCCGTATGTACGTTACTTATTCCTATTAACAAACAAAATCAAGGCACTAACATTTACAGAAAAGGCATACTGATCATCTTCCCTTCTATTATGTAAAAAATTAATATATAAAACCCCAAGGTTTATGGAAATGTCCATAAAACCACACAGTATTTTTCACGTTGGCCTGCTATTTTTCCTAAGCCATACCAATCAATTCTCTCCAACATTCTGATATTAAGAACAATTCATAATGAACCATTTCTTTATCCATCCAGAAAATTTTTAAGACATAAAAACATAAGAAATTGGTTTATATAAAGCATTCAAATTGGATAAGTTGTTTGCTCAGAATTTGCTAATTGCATACCAAATCAATTAATAGCTGTATAAGACAACTGTCCTGTAGCACAGGATCTACACCTTGGTAAAAATGTATGAACCTCAGCACAGAGTTTCTGAAAGCACAAATTATCTAAGAAATTACTTTCACTGGCTATAAACAGTAGTGAATGAGTTTTAACCTGCAATTTCATGTATTAATTTTAACAACCTTACATTGTTTAAGAAAACACTGAGGAAAGTTTGTATTTTGTTCAATGACCACTCCAGATTTATTTGTTATGGCTAAGCAGACAAGCCCTTAATTATAGCCATATGTAACTCAAAATCATCAGTGTCAGAGCTCATAGAAATTCCCACTGCCAGGCTGGTAAAGCTCTGAACAAAATAACACAGTGCATACTGTATTGTGAGCTGAACAGAGAGGTAAACCTGCCACATGGCAGTTTAGATAACAGCACTGTGTTGGGTTTGTGACTGGCAGGGTTTTGGTAGCAGGGGAGGGGCCTTACTGGTGTGGGCTCCTGGAAGACGCTTGGAGAAGCTCCCCCAGCTCCAAGTTTGACTCACTTCTGGCTAAAGCTGAGGCAATCGGCACCTCTGTGATAACATATTAAAGCAAATCTGTTGGACATGTTCTTTGTTTTGGGAGTTCTTTTGTCTCGGAGAGGAGTGGAGCATGAAAAGACACAGTGGAGCAGCCCATCCCCATGGTGAGATGGCACGCTGAGCCTCTGCAACCCTTAAGAGACCAACAACGGGGCAGAGTCCCATCTGTAGCCTGTGAAGGACCACACACTGAAGCACAGAACTGCCTCCAAAGGGGGCCATGACCCTAAGAGAAGCCCATACTGCAGCACTGCTTCACAGAGAACATAGCCCACAGAAGTGATCCACACAAGTTAGAGAAGTTGGTGGAAGACTGTCTGCCATGGGAGGGACACCACAATGTAATAGGGGAGGACTGTGAGGAGGTTTCACCATGAGGAGGGAGGAGTGGCAGAAACAACGTGGCATGGACTGGGACTGACCTCAACATTCTTAATTGGACTGGAAGCTAAAAAAAAAAAATAAAATAACATACAAGGAAAGGAACTTGTACTGTTGAACTTCTGCTCTCTCTCCCAAGCCCTTTTCTCTTTTTCACCTTCTCTTGTTGCTTCAAGATTTAAATTTATTGCCATCTTTAGCTCATGTGTTGTTTAAGGGGTGTGCCCTTATATACTTCATCACACTTTTCCTTCTGAGAGAAGGGAAATGCTCTCATATACTTCCTCAAACTCCTCACTGACCTAGTACCGTCCTCTTTGCTCATTTTGAGATCCCTTCTCTCTCCCTGTTTAACAATCCATTGATACAGCAGGTTTCTTCCAGCAGTATAATCAACCAGTCCCCACCTGCTGTCCATGTTCAAGAGAAAAATGGGGCAAAAAGCAGTGCATTACTTCTAGCTCCAAAATCCGAGACATTATGCATGTACTCAGACTGTCAGTGAAAGGAAAACAATAACGGGTACAATGTTTTATTAAATGAGTAGCTTAATCAGTATTTTATTTTTGCATATATTCTGAAGTCAAACTTTGTATAGCTCCTTATTTTCCATGTTTAAGCAAAATAAATAAAATAATTCTATATCCATAATTTGAGACAATTTCCTATGCAATGTCCTGCCTTCAGCCTCAGAGCACCTGGTTCATTCCTACATGCAAATATACAATATGAGACCAACAGGAATTCCACCTATTATCCTATAAACAACAAGAGATGTCTGTGCCAATCTTAAGTGCCTCAGTGGCAAAAAAACCCAAACAAACAGAAGGGCGGACGCTGGCACTCATGATACATTTAATTCAAATTCTTCATTCAGTTCATTCAGTACCGCATTACAGGGATATAAAAGTTGCTCCTTTCATCTGTTTTCTCCCCTCATTTGATTAAACTTACATCTCTTGCTATGACTAGTTTGCATTTCATCCAAAAGAAGCTACCTGAATGCCTACGCTTGCCTCTTCAAACTATAATACCCTTTACCTTCATGTTCTGAGAACATGTAAATAATTTATGCATCAACACATAAGTAAGAGTTAAATGTCTAGCTGCTTTTGGAACTACAGTTTCTGTTATTTTCTTCAGATGACACACACAAAAACAATGTTTTCTGTAATTGCACACAGAACTCAACTTCTCCTACCATTTAAACAGGGGATGGTGTTTTTGGAATGGTACTACACAGAAACCAAAATATGGCTCCACTTTTAAAGTTTCAATATATATAGAAATTTTATGTATTATATAAAATTCTATATCACATTAAATACTTTTAATATAAACTTTTATCTTCTATATATAAAATACATATTTTATGCATGTCACTATTTTATAGTACATTTTCAGTAATCACTTTATAGACTTTGTTGATGGGTAATGTTTTAACTACTAGTTTATATATTTAGCAATAAGCATAGTTACGAAATTTTTAGCAGGAAAAAGTCAAGCAGCCATCCACTTCAAGAGCTCAGTGCTAATTTCTGAAACAACTGGTTTATACACTCTGACTTTGAGGCTCATTTAAGTGATAGGTAATCAGGAGTACACTTGTTAATAAGATTTTACTTTCTGCCTCAAATGACCCAACTCTGGTCTTACTTCTATTCTCTGCTTCTCTAATTCCCTTATTGCAAGAGGGTTCTACTAGATGATCTTTGGAGGTCCCTCCCAGCCCAGATATTCATTAGATTCTTTCCTAAACATGTTACAAAGCTTCGGCAGTCCTACCTATCATAGATCTACATCCAGGTTTAGACCAACTTCCATGTAATTAATAGTGTTATAGATTAGAATGAAAATCAAAATAAGGCATATAGGTTATTTAAAAATCACACTTTAATTAAAGCTAATGAAAATTTTGTCATCAACTTCCCCTGATTTCATCTTAAATGTTTTATCTTGGTGCTCTTCTGGAAATTTTTTATCTTTCAACTTTTCTCTGAGGCAGTTTTACATAATTCTTTTTATTAAAAAGAAAATCATAACAAGTTGTGTAGCTTCGTCTAAAAACAGACAAAGTTGCAGGCTATGTCTCGCATACACAAAGAACAGAGGTCACAGCAATATAAATGTTTAAATGAAATGTTTCATTTTTACATCGATTAGAAGTTTCATAAACCAAAAACCATGTAATGTGGAGATTTTTCTTCTATCCAGGGATATTTTAGTATCTTAGCAGTGTTTTTCCTATTATGTTTCAAACAGGTGATGCAACTTTCATAGTATTTATAGGCAAAGCCTTCCTGTCCTAATTTTATCTCATTATCCCATTTATTATTCCATTCCTTTATCACTTTATAGAGTGGTCCTCTGTATACAATGTTCTTCTGTATACACAAACATATATAATACATGTATATATATATATATATGTGTATATATACCACACACGTTCTGAATATTGTTTAGCTTAAGTACAGTTTACTGGGTTCTTTACAAGGATGCAACCTTGCAGCATAAAATAGAAGGCACATTCATTCTAAAGGTTTCTCAAAAATGATATTTTGAGCTAATGTTTCAGCTGATAAGATCAGAATTAATTGCAAGTTTTAAAAACTTTTTAAAATTCTGTCCAACGTGGTTGGTGGTGAAGGTGTTGTTGTGGTAGGTTGGTTTGTTTGTTTGTTTTGGTTGCTTTTCTGTTTGGCTTTTTTCATTGGTTTGGGGTCAGGATGGTCACAAGTCCCACCTTAGGAAAACACAGAAGGATGGCAATACAAAATCAAAAGAAACAAGAAAGTTTCTCCATCCATTAGAGAACGTAAACTAAAAGAGATATTCAACAACCATTTTCAGTAGGGTTTGAAGCAAGATATATGATACCTAATTACTTAAGTTAGTACTAGTTACTGAGGAAGTAATAGTAACAAAAGCAGCAACAACAATAACAACAGGCTTATGTGCCTTTATAACAAATATAATTATTGCAACATTGGCCAAATCACGCATGGCCATCTTACTTACTACAGAATATGACAATACACTGCATTTCCAGTAAATCAGACTCACTGGGAACAGTATTCTTAAAAGTATAGCATCAGCCTGGGAGCTCTAAAGAACATAAAAATTCTCTTTTTTTCCTGAAGTGCAACTAGTTGTTCTGACATACTATTACATCATGACATTATCATGTCTGCTATCAATCAGAACAGTGTTTTTAAAACATTATTTTAATGTAATTTTTGTCCATGTAGATGGAAATGCATGATGCTTCAGAAAAAAAAAAATCCTACTTAAGCTGTAAAAATAACAGAATGTAATGCAACACTACATTATTGATACTACTTACTGATGATGAGCCCAACATGGATTTTGGAGACCTTATAATTCCAGCTATGGAATGACGTATAGTGTCAAATCTTGAGACTTTGTCCTTCTTGTCCTAGGAGAAAAAGCAGTATCTCTGGTGATAAGCAAATTGGTAAGACAATTGAATTATGGTAGAACATGGAATGCAGACTTCTGGATTCTATTTAAATAAAAGATAGGGGCTAAGACTCTGATGATACAAACCAGTAATTGTCAACATCAGTGGGATTAATCTAACTCATATAACTTTTACCATTGGCAAATTATATAATTCCCTGAATATTTTGTGCAATTATTTTAAATATCATTGTTGTTAACTATAAAGATAGCTGAAATTTTTTTGTACCCTAACAAAAAAAAGAACATAATTCTCAGTTCTCCTGAAATACCTATTATTTTAAAAGGACATCGATTTGAAAACATATAAAAAACCCCACATAATAAACCAAAAATACATATGCACTTTACCCTTACTTAATATATGGGTGGGCTTTTTTTCCCTTATATTAACATGTTTGTCTCTAACAAGACACTACTTGTAAACATTAGTACCAATCAATAGGATCTGTTTGTTCTCTGGCACTATTTTTAAACCACAGGTGCAGTCACTGTTTGGATTTTAAATTCTGTAAGAAGGCGGCTCTAACTGGAACACTGAAACAGCATTTAAGCATCTCTAGTTAAGCATGTCAATGTAAATGCCAAGGTACTCATAACAACTTGCTCCAAAGAATGTGTATTTCTTAATCTCAGACTTACCATTAGCTCTCAAAATTATTATCAAAGAATCCTTAAAAAAATAGAAAAGGGTATTTTTAAGACTGATAAACTGAGTTTATTGCTTGCAAGTCACCCCCAGAAACAGCCAAGATATTTTAATTAGTATTTGCAAAGTAAATAAACCTGAAGCAGCAAGACAACACATCAACAATCTCATTCTAATTAGCTACAGGTTACCTAAACAGTAAGAAGCTGATAATGGAGACAGACTACAACTGTTTGCTAGTGTTACAAAGAAAAACTGCTCCCAGAATTAGGATGTACACCCTCAGCTGAAGAAAATTAAAATCTGATCATGTAACAACTGCAGCCTCAGTTTATTCCAGGACTTCCAAATAAGTAACAAACCTAATTGTACTGTATACAGCATATACTAGTGTTTGAAAATTACTCCCAGATACAACTTAGTTTACAGGATACAGATTAAACACTGTCTTAGTAAAATTCTGCAATGTACCTTAATTTACATGTCGTGAAAAAAGAGTGGAAAAGCCAGTCAAATAGTCAAAATGCTAATGAGGGAGTTTATTAATATCTGAAATATTCATTAACCATGTGGCCCCTTACCCATTGATAACATTTTTATTTCTTTTATCAGACTCAAGTAATATTGTATGCCAAATAATTTTATAATAAACCACACTATGCCAAGTTCTGAATTTTAATTTTACAATATCAATTAATTAAACTGCCTACACACAAAACCAAAATCTCATTAACAACAGGGGGACACAGAGTCCAATTTTGCTTACATGCTGGGTGTGGAATGATCCACTCATTTCTCACATCTCTTCAGAAATGAGTCATGAGATTTAACTGTAATTAAATGTATGCCTTTTATACTGCAGGAAAAAATAACTTTGAGTGAATCCCACCACAGTTTCCCAAAACAAACTCAGGAGTTCTCTGTCTAACTTACACTAACAGCATGCTTATCTAGTGCCAACATCAGAGCAAGAAGTAAGCTTCCACATTCACCAATTTCTTCTTATCCAAAAATGTTTTTAACAAGAGGGGAATTTTTGACTCAAGAATGGGCTGGGCCACCAGAGGACATTAAGAAGCACCACTGAACACTACGCATACACTAACGGTCACATTAAATAGAAAGAGCATTAACATGCAGATTTAATGGATAAACTTTGTTCAAAATGTAGCTCATGCCCTCTTCAGACTGCAATACATATATAAATACTGTTCAATACTTTCAAGGCACTTTCCCTTTGACATACTGAAACTACTCTCTATCTTACAGCAACAAAGACTCATAATTTGTCTGCACAGCAGGCAGTATCAAACAGATGACAAAACTGTAGCCTGTACTGAGTTTCTTTATTCCATTTCAGTATTTTTAGGGCAACCTGAATAAAACTTAAAAGCAGCAACAGTTGCCCTTGATTGATTTTTTTCTGCCATTGCCCAGCTGCAGACCACCTTTGAAGGACCCATTAGATCTGTCAGGAAAACAGTTTTCATTCAGAGTAGTATATTCACCGGTCTGAGAGATTTTTTTTTTTTTTTTTAATGCATATCGGCTACAAATGTTTTCTTAAACTAGCATAAGAATACAACCCAGAGCAACCTGGTGGTTTGGTTTTGGTTTTTTTTTTTTTGTCATTTTGTTTTGGTTTTTTTTTCACATCTACATGTATATCTCCACCTATCTGTGTGTACAGTCTTATTAGTTACATCAGGGTGTTAAGTCTGGTTTCCAGCATAAAAGGAAACATGCATTAGAGCTGTCTTTCAGTGATCTCCACCATAGCCACACTGAATTTTGGATCTTCCAGCCAAGGCCCTCACAATTCAGCAAAGGGTTTAGTAGATGAAAGGATTATCTCAGCGTATGAGATTATTTAAAATTTCTGATGGAAGCTAATACTGAGCAGAGATTCTCTGTGTCCCCAGGAAGAAAAGTACTTTATAACTCCACACAATACTGATTCCAAGAAAAATGAGACATTTGACGAGCACAAACAAGCTGGCTGTGTAGTCACCCCACAGGCTTCAGAAAAAAAACTTGTAAGACATGCTAATTGACTAAGAAACTTGAGAAGGACACCTGAAAGGAATTAGGATATCTGCACCAGGGAAGCCATACAGAGCATTACAGAGTAGCTAGCATACACGATACAGCTACTGAAACAAACTAGATAATTCAGTTTCGTTTTGGTTTAAATGTATTACTTTCAGACAGAGTAGCAAAATGGTAGCATGATTTGTAACTTCCTTTATTTTAGGCTACACTATTTCCATTAAAAAGAAAACTAATCTGTGGTCAACTGTGTTTTATGTAACCACTGAATTATTGCAGAAAAAATTGTATTTTATTATTAGGAAGATAGGTACATATGAAAATACATACTGTCATTGGAGAACATTTTTAATCTATTTCATTGACTGTGTTTCGGTATACCTGTGGCATGAATGCACTTCCCACAAGGCATTATGAAAAATGCATTGACTGATATTTCCCTTTTAGGACTAGCCATATTTCTAATCACTCTCCAGAATTAACTAAAATGAATCTCCAGCAGACTTGGGACTGGCACTTAGAACAGGTCATGAATTTTCTATCCGTTTGACCAGTACACCTAGCAAAACTGCTGAAAATCCAACTACGCTACCCTGGAACGATGAAAGACTGATGAACTTCTATATGGAATACAAACAGCTGTTTTATGAATGGGACTTCTTGTCATTATCCTCTTTTGTAAATAATACAAAGCACTACTGCTTTTATTTCCAAATAATATAGAAAAGATTTACAACAATAAATGAATCCATTATTGAGAAACTAAATGACAGGAACTACTTGTAACTATCAGATTAGAGTGCTCTGTTGTATTTTACAAGCAACTGTTCCTGAATGCAGCAGTGTTATAATTCTTCTGCCACAAAACAAGGAATGTTGAAACTCTGCCCAGTTGTATATAAATTAGCCAACCTTTTCATTCCAGGTCTCTTTTTCCTTCTTAATAGTCAAAACAACTACCTCAGCTCTTTTCAAGGGATGTCACAGCAGAAGACCACCACCCTGGCACTCCTAATGTTACTTTGCATTCTTCTCTTCTGACAAGATGCAGAGAAAAAAAGTAAAGCTATAGAACTCAAAAAGAAGCCCAGGATTCAGGCCAGTTGAAAAAGGCAAGGGAAGCATTCCCTGTTTTGCTTACACATTTCCTCAGGTGCATCTTTGTACATGATATACAGAAAATCAAGCATTGTGTGTTCACTTTGGGGAATCTTATGCCACATGAGGTCCTGTCCATTTTAATAGACTTTCCACTAGAATTTATCTTCTATGGTCATGTACCACAACCATTAGGGTCTTGTGGACAAAATTCTCCCTTTTGCCAGATATACAGTTCTGTCACTGGGAAAATCACTGAAAACCTTAGAGTGCATGAAAACTAATACAATACACCCAGAAGTGTGACACAATCAAAATGACAGGCCATAAGAATCATATTCTCAACAGTATTTTCAATGAATGCAAGCAACATGAAGTAACAGCACAAGATTTTGCATAAATTGCACTGCATAAAATAAAGCCCCAAAAGACCTTTTAAGCTGTACAAATACAGAAAAAAAAATGTTGTATCTTATATATTATTACAAATGAAAAATAATCTACACTCTTTGTAGAAAAGTAATGAAGAAGCTGAAAAGAAATCTGGGATAAAGATAAAACAGAAGTAATGCTTCTGAGGGACAGGCATATAGTAAGACTATCTCTACTGATCGCACTGTGGAAGATTAGCAGTAAGAAAGACAATGGACAATGCAGCATATATTCAATATTGCTAAAAACACTAGCTGGACAGATACATATAGGTTATAAGAATACACTAATAACTCAGCATAACTCCATCTAAAAAATTTGTCCTAATGAATCAGACACAAACCATCAGCATGGATACAGAAGTTCAGTGTGGGCTTGCGAATTAGAGAACCTTCACAGAAAATTTAGAGAAATATAATGAGGACTTTATAACTGAAAGAGAAAACACTCTCAGAAGGAAAGAAAATTTCAATTAGAAGAACATAACCAGTGATACCTAAAAGATAAGCATGGTTTCTGTTTCTGAGATTCAGCAGGGAACTGGTCCTCAAGAGATTTTGATGAAAATTACTTCAGTACAGCACAAGACAAAACCAGAAGAGAGGAATTCCTGGTAGCTATTGCAAATGATACATTCAATGCACTTACAGATAAGAGACATAACAGACTGTATCTGCCACAGCAATTAATATGCTCTCCTTTTTGCAAAGTGAATGCTAGCTTCATTT